CATAAAGAAACGAGAGAAAAATTGAGTGAAGAAAACATTGAAGTGAATGATAAATCAATTCCTTCCTGTGGATTCAAAAGTTGAGCTCAATTTCAATGGCAATCATACCTCTTGCGCCTTCACTCACAAATATCATGGGGTTTGTATTTTATTTAGATAACCGGAGGTTCAGTTGGAAAATAGAATGCATGCTGATAGTAGGGAAAATCAAACAGTGAAAAACCTTATAACTTGAGTATTGCGGTGAGATATTACGGCCAGTTGTTTATTTCGATCACAATCACAGTCCTTGAACTTTTACTTCCAAATATCGACTCTCTCTGCTCTCCGAGATATCCTCAAAAAACTGAAACTTCACGCCTTTTTTTATTTTGCGGAAACCCTCAAGGGGGCGAAAAAATCGGGGTTATCAGCGCTGACGAAGCGCTATCGGGCTCTACAACGACCATCCACCCGGTGAAATGTGCTATCGTACTCAAGATGATCCTCAGTGCAAAAAGAAAAGATAAATAAAAGTCGAACAAATTGTAAAAATAGAGGGAAATTCAGTGAATATCCGTGAGATTTAGTTTTGATTAATGAAAAACGAAACAGTGAATGCAGGAGTTTCTGTAATTAAAAATACAATTAAAGTATTCCACGTGTCTCAATGGTAATCAAAACTTGGAGACAAGACGATGGGATAGCTCTTGCCACAGTCAAATGATTCAGAATGATTACTCAGAGTAGTCGAACCGAGTCTCAAACAAACTGAGAAAACTTTGGACTTGCGAGTCTACAAGATGCATAAAGGAATGGCGGAAAGTTTCCCACCCCAGAGGGTGTTTTTTCTACTCTCACTGTACTCGAGTGCAAACTCTTATTGAAATAGTTTCGATATTGTGGTTTCTGTGCGCCTCGGGGCGAAATTCTGGAATTTTCGGCGGTTTCGCCAGGAATTGAATCTCAAATCAAAATCCCATCATGGTAGAGACGCTGGAGAATTTTATATCCACTTTTCCGGCCGCAATTAGTATCCTCCGTAAACGGCTTTAATGTGCCTGGAGTCTGGGGAATCTAGGGATAAAAATAGACAAAAAATTCAAGCAGGCCGGGGCCTTAAATCCGCGTTTTGACGGCTCAGATCGGGTCTAGACGGCGCAAAGTGTTCTCTCCCCGTGTTTATCTCCCATACGTACGCCACTATCACCTGAATCGACCTCCGTACTACAAATTCTCAGAGTTTATGTGTCATTCACTACTTTTTCAATCATTTTTTTTTCCTCTCATTCGCGATGATGAGTTGTGGAAGGGCATTGAAATGGCGACACTTGCGGAGGCATTTTTCACCGTAGGCCGGGTGTATAATTAGACGAGTTGCGAGGAGGATATCGAAGCATGGGAGGCGAAAGGTGATGCAATATGTCGAAAGGTGAAACCCACAGGTGTATTAAAAGGATCTGTGGCATTTACGGTTGACTTCAAACGCAAATAGATTAATTTATTCTATTTCGGAGCGTTGAAATATTCATTTTCAGCGGTTACCAACGGCCGAGGCGATTAAATATTCTTTCAATATATTTTTTTTATTAAAAAAAATTATCTTCTGAATTATCATAATTCAATAAAATACTATAACAAAGCTGCAGGGGAACAGGGTCGATAATGACCCCATCCGATAGGTCGTCAAATTTACCCTCAAATTGAAAAAAAAAATCGACCCGTTTTGCCCCTTTGGTTCAGGAAAAACAGAAACAAAATTCACTCGAATTTCATTTTCTAACTGGAATTCGAAAAATATTGGGGCAAAATGGGCCACTTTGAATTGTCATTATTGACCCCATTATGTCAATCAAATCAAATCTCTTTTTTTAATGACATTTTCCACGGAAAATGAAACGAAAGATAGAAATACATTGATGAGTTGATTTTTTTTAATGATTGAGTGCGTAAAAAGAAGAAAAAAAAATATGTTGGAATTCTTCGGGATTCGAACTGCGGTAGTTACGGTTGGCGCAGTCGGTTAGACGGTTGTCGTTCGTTCTCCGAAAGCCTCGCCATCCACTCTGGTGGCTAAGCGGATGGGTGAACGTTTCCTCACTTCTCTGAACACACGTTTCTCCTCCGTCCACACACTGGCACTGTCCAAATGACATTGTCACTTCAAGACGGAGGTAGATTGAAGCATTGTCGTGCTCCACTTCGGCCTGCGAATTAGCCCAGCATGTCGAAACTAAGGCCTTCAAACAATTTTTTTCTTCATAAAAACAACTCGGGTCTTTCACTTGACAAAAAAATGTTCAATCGTCAAAACGGGGACTTAATTCATGAAGAGGGGAAGGGGTAATAATATAATATAATAATAATAATAATAATAACCCATCAGATAGATCGAAAAATTCCCGCTTCCAAACCCATTTTGCCCCATTATTTCCCGAGCGGTCGCAGAAGAGCGAAATTGATTTGAAAACGTTTTTCGCCTGTAACTTCGGAAATACTGGGGCTAAAGGGGTCGTCTTGTTTTCCATTTGTCGGTAAATTTTCCGATCTATCGAATGACTCATTATCGAGCCACGCCATCATCAGGGGGAGAACGATCTTCGTTAATGCTAAATGAATGAATGAATAAAAACTTGAGTGCATCACTATGAATTTTACTCTCGTTCGGGGGAACGTGAAACGACAGATATTCAAAAAATGTTGAGTGGGGAAACCAGTTGGACGAGACAGTTTTTTTATCGTTCCCGAGTAACGGAGGACGCGGGTGGAGTGGGTCTCCTGACCCGAATTATAGTAATCTACAATTAAATGGGTAATTAAGACAATTGTGACAGTAGGAAATGCACGCAAAAATTATCCTCACCGTGACTTTCACAATTTTCCTGCGGGAAATGATGAATTTTTACTTGCGTCTGTCAAACTCGTTTCAACTACTTTCGAAATTAAATCAGTGGTTTTCCCCCAATCGCAATTAAACTATTTGTTTTCCGTATGAATTAATTTTCTCGAATGAATGAAAGTGGTTGAATGGGTGACCCCATCAAATGGATCGGAAAAATTCTGCTCCAAAACACGGGTCATGACCCCATTTTGCCCCACTTTTTCGAGAATTACAGCCGAAAAACCGTTTTTTTCTCAAAAATAATTTTTGGCTGTATCTTTAGGAATAAGGGGGCAAAACGGGTGGCCTTTTTTTAAATTTCGCCTCAAATGTTTCGATCTATCGAATGGGGTCATTGCGGACTCCATAATGACTATTTTTTACGCAAGATATTTTTGGAATATGTGTCATTCCCCTCGACGTGAGTGACATTCACATTTTTCACTCTTAATTTTGTTTTTTCAATGAAATTCCACACTTTCTTTTGGTGTAGGATTACTTTCTTCGCTCTCTAAATATTCTCAATGTCAAAAAATGGAGGGAAAAAAATTGAATAAGATACTCTGGAGGGTGTGAATGGCGCTGTGTTTCTCATATTTCAGTCGTTAGTTGTGACAGCGACTAGACAGTGTGTCTACCTCACTTGATTTTAGATTTGGAAATATCTGCACAAATGGCCTTTCGGTTTATATTTAAAGGTCTAGACGCATCAGCTCTCGGCCACTCACTCATCATCGCGCTTTTTTCCGGGAATTTCATTCAACTCTGGAAAATCCTGTTTCCAGGAGTGGAAACTGATCATGAATTTTACTTTTAGGTTTTATGCAAACGGAATCAATGTCTACGAGTGAATTATGGGAAATCGCAAAGTCCATGCGGATTTTAAACAAAATTTTTTGAAATTTCACTCTGCCGATGTCGAGTTATCGATGATTGAAAATTATCACTTGCACATGGGATTGAATGCACCTGCATCTTCTTCATTTTGAGTTGCGAATTAGAAAAAATTATTTATGGTATTTATGATGTTATTTTCCTCATCCGTCACACAGTAATGACTGAATAAACAATAACTACTTGCACTTGATCTCTCCACCTGTCTCGGGCAGTAAAACCCGATAACAATGCCTGTTATTATTATTTTTTTCACCAAGTCTAAACACATTTTCGTGCCTATCATCATTATCAGATAAACCTCCTCGTGTCGGCTGTTTGTGGGTAATAAAACTCTTGTATCGTCTCATTATCGCGTATTATGTTCACAAATAATAAAAGCAAAGGAAATGCCTTTGTTATTGAATCAACAGATGATTTTCCACTGCATCAGACGAAACCAAAGTATTTTCCTCATCATTTTCAATATCTTCATCATCTAGATATTCCCGATTTTTCATTACGGTTAATTGGGGTCGATAGTGACCCCATTCAGATCAAAAAATTTCTATAGAGAAGGCAGTTATTTTTACTGAAATGTTTTTGCAATTTTCATTTCTAAATTATTGTTTAATCCTTTAAAATTCGATTTAAAATTTACAGTTCCTGTTCATTTTTCAAAAATTTTTCAATTTTTAATGACAAAATTCCTGGAGATTCCAGGGAAACTATAATGTGGTGAGAATTTCCGAAAAGTCTACCAGAAATTTCAGCTAAAAAATTTCATTTCTCCCCTGGGAAGCCTGGGAAAACAAAAATATTTTCCCGAGTTATCGCAAATGGACTATAGCCTCGTGCATCTCTCGTTCGTGGATCGGCCGCGAGGCGTCGCGTCGGTGATGGCCGCCCCTCAGTGCTCACGAGCCTCGCTCGGTGCGTGGTTACGTCGCGTCCTACTCCGAGTGTCTTCACCCATTTGTTTGTATTCCCCCATTAACAATTATAATGTTTTTACCCTCAAACACATCCGTCTAAGCTCATCCGTCCACCGACGACATCCGCCCCCGTTAAATCAGTTTTTTAATCATCCAAATGATATGTGTTCACACCTCACGTCCGGAGGCTGACAAAAAATATTACAAATTCCGACCGTCTCTCCGTGAAATGAATAAGTGACGCGAGAGCTCGACCAAGTGTTAATTAATAATAATTAGTGATATCAGTGCGAACAATTTTTTATCAATTAACCTTTTCTTGGAATTTTTTAAATTTATACAGAAGAAAAAAATTGCGAGGTGAATTTTTACATTTGCTTTTTAAATGTTAACAATTTCTTGGCATTTTTCAACACTTGAAATTAATCAAAAATCATTAGTTTGTTTATTTCGTTAGTCACTTTTGAAAAAATGAAAATTATCGGTTTTGAATTTTTGAAAATTCAGAAAAGAATTTTTTTCGAGTGAAGAAAATTGTTCTTGTGTTTCTGGCAGCAGAAAATGCGGAAAAAATATTTTTAGTGGCAAAAAAAAATTTTTATCAATCACCCTTTTCTCAAAATTTTCAAACACCTATAAAAAATTTTTTTTTGAGTGAAATAAAATTGTTTTTGCGTTTTGGGCAGCAGAAAATGCGGAAAAAATGTTGAGAAAACATTTTTAGTGGCAAAAAAAATTGTTATCCAGTGATTTTCGAATTTTATTCACCCCCTCTCGTGTGGTGCATTTATTTTTATTTTGGTTTTTATTTTATTCTGTGTTTGCGGTATATCCGGCAGCGTCACTGTATCTCTCGACCATCGCGTGCCGCACAGGTGTTTCGAAACAACAGGGGGGAGGGGTCAGGTAGCAGTGGAGGAAGTGCATCATCGATGGCTTCAGGGGAAATCGAGAGAGGAATTTTTGGGAATTTTTTTTTCCTCTTTCCGAGAAAATTTTTTTAGTGTTTTGGGGTTTCCAGGGTTTTTGTGGGCGTGAGAGGATGATGAATTGTTGATTTGACTCATTTATTTGTTTATTTATTTATTTTTGGGCGGAGGAGATCCTGTGGTGAATCATTTTTAAATTTATAACTTCATTTTCATTTGTTTGTACTCATCTTGCATTTTTCTGCGATTTAATTAGATGTTTGAATATTAGTTCATGGGTTTGTTGATTAGAGAACAATTTATTTCGATTTTCCAACGATTTTTCGGAGTCATTTTGAGGTTAAATTATTTATTTTTCAGTTTCATAACCTCAAATCGTGAATTTGTATATTTTGTGGTGGGAAATATGAGACTGATGGAGTCGATTGTGATCCCACTCGATAGATCGCAAAATTTTAGCTGAAATTTAAAAAAAGACAATCCATTTTGCCCCATTAATTAAGGAGTTACAGCCAAAAAGCCGTTTCACTCCAAAATGTAAATTTATAATTTTAGGACTAGACTACCGGGGCAAAATGGATTCACGACCAATGTTTTGAGTAAAAAATTTCACGGACTGTCTGAAGAAAAAAAAAATTGTTCTCTGGGTCAATTTTCATCAATCGAAAATATTGTATTACGTTATTAATTGCTGATGCATACCGCGAAATGCCAATGTGACATTCCACACACTGGTTTTATTTTGTAATCGTTGAAATGGAATTTAGTATTCCACTTTCTACATGATGATCGAGCCCAACTAATAATCCTTCAATTGATCCATTTAAATGCAAATGAATTATGAATGGACAATTTGACAGTGAGAATTCAATTAAAAAACCCTAAAGAAATATTAAATGAACGTAAAAATTGTTGAAATATTCTGTCGTTGAATTTTTATAGCGCCGAACATAAAAGACGGATAAAAAAAATAACAGTGACGTTGGAATTCCAGCAAATGATGTAAAGAATGAGGAGAAAAAAAATATGAGAGACAATAAATCGTAGTTTTTCATGGCCGTGCGGAGGAAAAGCCGATGCACACTGGCATATTCCTGGAAATTAACGTTTAAACAATGACTACCTCAGTTACCGGCGAACAATACCCCTGATCACAATGAGATGCTAATTTAATAATTTATCAAACAGTTTTTCTCAACTCCGCAAAAAATAATTAAAAATCCCAGCAGAACATTTTCTCCACAAAAAACCCAAAAACAATTGATTTCACTCGAAAAAAAATGTTCAACCATCAAAACGATGGATTAATTCATGAAGAGGGGAATGGGATTGTTTGAACAATGGAAAAATCACCGTAAAAATTGATACAATTGTTTTTCCAGTGATAAAAGCGACGTAATGCGAATAATAAGACTAAATCGGTGACGTTTTCACTCGTTAAAAGTGAAATGTCGATTCGTGTGAGTGGTGGTGTTTATCTGGTGCCTGGGCTACAGGAGACTAACGATAAATGTAACAAAACCAACGATAATCAGCATCAACTGACTAAAACAGTGACTATTGTTGCTGGACCACAGAGGAGCAATAGTTTGGATTATTTGAATTTTGAGGAGAAACGACAGTTGATCGCATCCTCATTATCGTTGAGTGATTTTCTCGCTCATGGACCGGCGGCTGCTGCTGCAGCTGCCAAAGAGGTTGCTGCCAGTACTGTTGTCATTGGTGAGTCTGGCCAATCAATTAAAAAAAAAAATCATCAATAATTGAAAATTCTGAAAAACCTCAATAACTGGAAAATCCAAAATCGGAGTATGGGGGTCGATAATGACCCCATCAGATGGATCGAAAAATTCCCGCTTCCAAACCCATTTTGCCCCATTATTTCCCGAGCTATCGCAGAAGAGCGAAACTCATTTGAAAACGTTTTTCGCCTGTAACTTCGGAAATACTGGGGCCAAATGGGTGCTCTTTTTTTTCATTTGTGGGTAAATTTTCTGATCTACCGAATGGGGTGATTATCGACTCCCCATCTCCCCCCCCCCCCCCCCC